GGTCAACGTATGGAGAGGAACTCTTTGTTAGGAACTGCAGTGACACGGCAAGGAGTAACAGGTGTAAATTGAAGGTGGGGAAAGCTAGATTAGATGTTAGGATGAAATGTTTTCCTGTGAGGGTGGTGAGACACTGGCACAGGTTGCCCAGGGAGGCTGTGGCTGCCCCAACCCTGGCAGTGTTCAAAGCCAGGTTGGATAAAGCCTTGAGCAACCTGCTCTGGTGGGGGTTGTCCCTGGCCAGGGCAAGCGGTTGGGACTAGATGATCTATAAGGTCCATTCCAACACGTTAACATTGTATGATTCTGTGATATTTGGTGTGCTCTGCTCCAGTATGTTTAATCCTCACGAGCTCTTTCAGCTCTTGTTGTTCAGTGGCTGTTACTGAAAGCAAAGTCAAATCAAGCTCTGCCTTTGGGCTGTTCTGAAGGGAGGCAGCATCTGTTGGTTGCAGGTTTTTCAGCCCTGGAGTTCTGGAGAGAAAACCCAGTTGTTTTCTGCAGTTGTGTCAGTGCTCTGTGGCTCTGTGTTCCTAATTTTCTGGATGTTGCTCATTAAATCCTGCTGTTATGCCACCTATGGTACATTTAGGCAAGTGATTTTCTGTAACAGGAAAAGAGGTAAATGTTACTGTAAATTAAGCACTCTAAGGGGTTTTCTTTTGGTGGCTTCACAGTTTGCAGTTGTAATGCAGATTCCACCAAGGAACTCATCTCATTTTTACAGAACTGTGTGGGTATCAAGTGTCCTGACTTGGTGGAGGTTTTTTCTGCTTAATAAATGCAGGCAGTGCCAGGTGGTACACAAGGCTGTGAATGAGAAATTAATGCTTTTTGGAAAGCTTAAGAGCTCCCTTGACTCTCCCATATGAATATGCTCTCTTTAACTATCTGGAATTACACCTGGAAAGACTGAGGCATAGTCCTGCTGTCTTTTCCCCAGTGGCATTTGCCTGGCAGTGTTTGTCATCTTCCTATTTTACGTTTACTGGATTATTGACTTGGTAATCTGAAGCCTCATCACACAATCCTTGCATGTCTGGAGGTCCCCAAGGCTTGTGTTGTCCTTCTAAATATACTAAGCCAGAGCAGTTGTTTATGCTTTTACATTCAATACTGTGCTTGAGTGACCAGAGGCATAACCACAGCCACAACTATAAAGTGCTTACGTGATAAATGTTCCTGAAAGTCCTGTTAAGAAATCCTAAGCAAAGATTCAGCCAGAACTTTGGGGGTTTCTCTTCTTTCTCTCTCCTCCTCACATTCTTTGTTTTTGTTTTTCACAGAATGGAGCAGCTTTTTCCAAAGTCAGAGGAAGCCAGTCAGGTCAAGACAGCACTAGATGGGTATGTACAGTGCCCCTGGTTCATACAGTTCTTCTGCAAGTCTCAGAGGGAGAACTCACACAGCACTGCAAACTCAGGGTCCAGTTCTCTTTCCTCTTCACTGTGGATTTTCTCATATTAGGGTCTAAGAGATACTGCCTTCACCGAATAAAATCACACAGTGTTTCAAAACATACATTTAAAATGAAACTGAGAAACAGTTACAGCTTTGCAGCCTTTGTGCAGTCTTTAGTAGTGTTGTTAATGTTACAAGAAGTTCCTAGTAGTGTTGTCAGTGTTTCAGTGAACAAATTCAATGTTTCATTACACTTCTGTCTGATACAGATGCTTTGTTCCAGGGTATTGTGTCCTTTCAGACTGAGTGTTTAAAGGATTGGTTGGTTTGTCATGCACCTTATTTGTAACTCAGTAGCACAGTAGAAGAATCAGCTGCAGGCCCTGGAACACAGAATGCTCCTTTGCTGACTCCAGGTGTTTAACCTGGTTCCTCATTGCTTTTGTTACTTGCTTGTGTTGGGTCACAAGCTCAGTTGCAATATTTGTAGTTAGGATTTGCTTGGAAATGCTCTCACAGAAATCTTTTGTTAAGAGGTCTCCTGGTGGAATACCAGCACAGATGGTTAAAGAGGAGGATGTGCTGGGAGCTGGCTGCCTCTTGGTTTGGATGCAATATAATAACATTGCTGGTTAGCAAAACAGCCATTTAAAGGCCTTTTTGTCTGCTGAGCAGGAGGAGAAGTGCCCTGGCTAAGAGCTGTTCTTGGAAATAATCCAAACCAGCTGCTCCATGGACTGCTTGCTTGTGCCAGGAATGTCTCACTATTCTTGGAGGCGACACCCCTTGGAACTACCTGCCAGGTGTTAGGTGTCACAGCCACAGTGAGCTTCCAATCTGCCACCCGGTGGGCAGAGTTCTCCTTAAGATTTAACTTTTCTTGTGAGTTCACTAATAACAAAGCAGAATGCTCCACAGTCCTGCCAGGGACCTGTTGCACTCCAAACTTACTTCAGAGTCCTTGCAGTGAAGTGTCCAAAATACTCCATTTGAATGTATTTCCCCAGATCTCCTTTTTGAAGATGGCACAAGATTTACCTTTTCTCAGAACAGCTCCTGACCGTCACAGCTTTAAGGATGTTGCAGAGAAACCTTGAAATTAGACTAACCACTTCCCTCAGCACCCACACACGTCACACCTTGTTCTGTAATCGCTGATTTGTTCAACTGCTCTCCAGCTCAGGCTAGAATTGGAAAGAATCTAAAGTTTGGCCTAGAGTTCTTCCTCAAGTCTAGCCCTATAGAGATGTAGAAAGTTCTGCTTGAAGCTGAGAGGTTTTTACTCTAATCTTGGAGACCTGAAAAGCCTGAGAGCAGCCTGTTCTTCTGAAAGAGAAAGCTTCCATTTCCACAGTTGTTCGTGGAAGTAAAGTGCACACTGAGAATATATATTGGGAGATAAGATTTCCTTCTTTCAGTGGGTTGGGTTCTCTCCTTTTTGTCAAAGAGTTCTGATGTGTTGACCTTTTCATGCTTAAGGGTGGTGTTTCTATCCTCTGTACAACAGCACGTGGTTAGGAAATTCCTAGGCTTAATATCCAGCCACAACATACCAGTGTATTTGATTGACCCTTTGATTCTGGGACTGGTTGATAAAGACATTGAGCAGATCAGAAGTTCTCCTGATGGCCCCAGTCCAGAATGCAAGTATTTCTGTGCTCCAAGAGACTTCACTACGTTTGCACTACTGGACAAAACATGGAAACATGAAGTAAGTGTCTGTGTTCCGTTCATATTTGTACCTTGTAATGCATTCAGCTGTTCTGTGATGTTGTGACATAGTGCTTTCATGCTTGTATTATTATTGCAGGCAGAGGAAACTTTGTTTTAAGGTTAAAGTTATCTAGATACTAGCCTGGTACAGATAGCTGAAGGTTTTCAGAAGATGACTGCAATTATTCATAAACACTTTGTAGTAAGAGGCCATGTCAAAAGAAAAGAAAAAAGGTCTGTTAGAAAGGAAGAGGGAGAACCTTAAGCCTGTCATGTACATCTGTTAGAAATCTTGAGTCTGGGGATTTATCAAGGAGGAAATACAGGTATTGATGTGAATTGGTGGAAATATTATATTGTCTGCTGGTTTACATTTCTTCCAGTGCATCCTTGTACTTAATGCCATTTCACTTAGTGCATTGGTGTCTCTGCTTCTTTTTGGTGTTAGGAGATTTTCTTAATGGATGTGTTAGAAATAGAGGTGTAGCATGTGATGAAGGGCAAAATTGAATTCAAGATTTTTTCATCAGTGAAGTGTAATCTGGCAGTATATATTAGATTAATTCATACAGTGGCAAACAGCCTTTTTTCTTGTTTTTATCCCCATTTTTTTGAATTAGAAAATGCAGGAGACATTTTCAATTCCTTTCCCACCCAACCTGTAGGTGTGCTGCGTGACGTGCTCGTATAAAACATTCCAGGGGGTAAATTGAAAGGATCTTCAGGTTCTTTTCTTATCAGCCAGAATTTAATTCCCTGTTTCTGTGGATATATGAAAGACTCTTACCTAGTGTTTTGGTGTTTGGTGAGATCTAAACAAATATTTATTTACATTATAAACCACTATTTTGCAGCAGTCATTTTTGTATTAGAGATATTGTTATTCAAGGACTTAGGAATGCCAAGTTTGGCAGAAGAATAACTTTAGGAAACAGTTTGAGGGTGCAGAGAAGGATGCTATGGCAAGGAGCAAACCTAGTCTAAGCATGGTTTATGATATTTATTTGTTGTGTCATTGAATAGTTTGAAGGACAAAATTTTAGACAAGGAAATAAGGTGTTTGGAATTGCTAGTGGCTGTTGGTCTTCAGGCCTTGGAGATTTCTGATTCATTTGTGCTGAAGTCTGATTACAAAAATAAAAATTGGGAATAATGTCAGTTAATAACAAACATTCAGCACTCAGTTTTGGTTTCTATAATCTGCCTCTCTGATTTTCAGGTGGGCCTTTTCAGAACTGCTGAGAAAATGGGGTTCCAGTGGCTAAAGATTATAAACAAGGACCCTCGCTTGGATGGGATGGATGACCTGTCTGGGATGGAAATCCCCTTGCACTACATATTCAAACTGGCATCTCATGCCATTCACCTGGTGGTCTTCTATGAGAGGAGTGGTAATTATCTCTGGCATGGCCCCCTGAGGCTCAAGAAGCACATGGACAGGAAGTTTGTGCCTTTCCGTAAACTCCACTTCGGTCGCTACCCTGGAGCATATGAAAAGTGAGTTCAAAACAGAGGAAGGAAAAAGCCATAGTGGCACTTCCAAAATAACTTCTTTCTTCTGTGTATCAAACTACTTTCTTTCCTGAAGTCAGGTTGTAAAATTTAGTTAATGTGTGGTTCAGACCTCAGAGTGCAGGTTAAGTAAGGTATAAAGGTTAATCTGGTTCTGATTACCTGAAAACAAGAGCATCACACTGCTCATGAATGGAGAACTACATGTAAGAGCAAGCTGCTGTGTAGCCAGATTGAAGCAGGCAGAAAGATGAGAGAAATCAGAGCAGTCATGGCTGAGGTTGAATGTACCAGAGGATCTTCTGCTAGAGGCAGTGGTTTACCATTAACATGTTTAGAAGCTTGAAATCTGTGCTGTCAGCAAAGTGGTAAATTAGAAGTGGCAAGACATTTAGTACTGGTATTTGGTGTTCTTTTAGTAACAGTGTGTATCTGAAAGTTGAATACAGATATGGAACATTAAATGAGAAGGGGAAGCAACAGAAATCCATTCAGTAACAGTCCAGATAATCAGTGTTAAAGAGTTTGAGTAAGGAGAGGTGACATTTGTACCATGAAAGAGGTGCCAACCATTGCATCTAACCCATGATCTTAATGCACTGAGGGGATTCTTTTCTTGCATAATTGTTTGAACTGGTGGTGTTGTTTATCCCTAGTCTTATCCTTAAACTTTGCATTACCCTGGTAAAGTTACTGTCAATGTCTCTCTTTTTCCTACAATGCTTGAAGTAACAACATTTCAAGAGAAACAGATCATGGCAAATCTTGTCAGGATTTTCAAAGCCAAACACATACCACTAGGCTTTGACAACAGTGTTCCTGAGGGTATGTGCATATGCTGCAGGTCAGAGAAAAACGTTCAAACATTTCACAGGTCAAAATAAATCTGTTTAACTCTTTCCTTGAATTTTACCCCATCCTTTCTTCAATACCAAATCTGTACAGGTTATGTGCCTCAACATTTGAAATCCACTGTGTAAGCTGTTAAATGATCTCACTTCATTAATTGTGAAGGCTGAACAGTTTTTGTTATTTAAAAGCAAATACCCTTAAAGAACTATAATTTGGTTCTGAAGTGCATCCCGTACTTGGACAGCTAACCAAATACCCTGAACATTCAAATGAACAACATCTCTGAGCAAACTCAGTGCAAGTCAGTAAAGGAATCAGTGACTTGGCAAACTAACTGTGGACTCGTAGGCATAGAACTTATTTTTAAACAAAATTTTGAAATGTATGGGGAATATGTTGAAGCTCTTGTGGCTGTTTTTTGTCTAATGGATTTTGGATGTATTTGCACAGAGGAATCACAGCCTGTAGTGTGCATTAAGATTTTAACTTGAGTTAGAGGGAAACGTGCTTTGTAGTTTGTAAAGGAATTAAGTGGGGTAATGTATTTTATTTCTTTTCATACAGGCCAGAACTTCTGCTTGTTTCCATTGATGACTTAAAAGTTCAAATTCCAAAAAGCCCATCCAGTTTTCTAGAGGAGATGTCACACTCTAGATTCCTTGAATGTAGGTACAGAGAAGCTCGGGCTTTCTTCCAGGTTAGTGGAAACCAGGTAGTGTCTTTGAGGTGTGATCTGTGTTTTCACTGATTGACCCTAACCTAGGAACAGTTCACTGTGTTTTACCTAATTGGAACTGCTGGCATACATAAAGCTAAACACGATTCTTACACATTGTTACTGATAAATAGATCTCATGTAAATATAAGACTTAAGATCTTGTGTATCTTTGGGGCTGAAAATTTTCCTTATGGCAATTCTCAAAGTTTTGAGTACTGTTTTGTGTTTTTTGAACCATGTTCTACCTTCCTAATTTGGCTTATTTGAAATGGTATATTCATTCCAAAGTGCTTCATTGCTTTTTGACTGTGTAAGCTAATGTTTTGGCCACTGTTTAGAGCTTTATTTTTAGAATAACTGATTTAGCAGATGGTAGAAAAGTTTCTGCTGCAGTCTAGGGATCATTTTGTCCTAACTTAAAAAGGACATTAAGTGATCAAAAGTAACCACAGTTAAGACTGTGGAGTCAGAATCAGGTCACTGAACTTGAGCCATCTCTGAGTTCATGGAAGGGGATAAAAAGAGAAAAACTAAAGGCTCCATTCTTCAGTCATTTAGGTCTTGGGGAAAGGGAGGACCATCCTTGCTCAGTCTAGTAGGCTGTTGCTACCCATATGTGTAGCAGGAGGGTTACTTTACCCAAGGATTATGTGTTGTCACTTCACATGTGAAGGGCAGAAAAGTATGTTCCACTTCAGCTCTAAAGCAGTAAGCACCACAGGCAGAGAAAATGTGCCTCTGAATGTTTACTGAACTTTGCTGGAGCTTTCATAGTGAGATAAGCAGCTGGCATCTGTTTTGAAAAGTATTCATGTTTGTTGCCCAAGAGCTCTGAAAGAAATGAGTCATGAAGCTGAGTGGTGTGTTGTTCCACTGTTAGACTTTCTAATGCTTCCCCAGAATGGCTTTGCATTGACAAAAGATGTTGCCACCGTTGTGGCTGGAAGAGGTGCCTGATTCCATCCATGTTCACGCTGTTCCTGCTCTGTGGCAGAAGTTCTCCACGTCCTGTTGTAACACTTGGTGGCGCCAAATAAACTAATCATGGACTCGTCGAGGCTGGAAAAGCCGAAAATGCGCTGGAAGGGACTGAGCCTGTCCCTGTGTTCCCCCTGAACTCAGGGTATTTATTTCAGCATCTGTAGAAATGGAGCTCATCCATATTGCTGCCAAGTGCTGAGAGTCAGTGTCTAATCCAAAGTTTTCTTATTCTAGTCTATTGTGAATTTTCATTCTGCTGGTTTGGAAAATCTGAAGATTTCAGAGTTTAAATTTTAACTTGCCACTCCAAGTACATGTTCTCAAACTGGGCTGTATATATGAAAATCATAGAATCATAGAGTCATAGAATCAACCGGGTTGGAAAAGACCTCAAAGATCATCTAGTCCAACCCTACTGTTGTTACTAGACCATGGCACCTCAAGGCTTCATGCAGCCAGGGTCAGGGCAGACACCACATCCCTGGGCAACCTGGGCCAGTGTCTCACCACCCTTAAAATAAATTTTATTTTTAATATCCAAGCTAAATTTTCCCTCCTTCAGTTTGAACCAATTACTCCTTGTCCTATCATTGCAGCTCCTTGCAAAGAGTCCTTCTCTGGCTCCCTTGCAGCCCCTTCAGGTATTGAAAAGTTGCTCTGAGGTCTCCACACAGTCTCCTCTTCTCCAGGCTGAACAGTCCCAACTCCTTCAGCCTGTCTTTGTAGGAGAGATGCTCCAGTCCTCTTAGCAACTTTGTGGCCTCCTCTGGACTTGTTCCAACAGTTCCATGTCCTTCTTATGTTGAGGACACCAGAACTGTGTGCAGTATTCCAGGTGGGGGTCTTATGAGAGCAGAGTAGAGGGCAAGAATTACCTCTTTTGACCTGCTGCATCTATTACTCAAGCAAATTTTTAAGGTCCTTTTTCCTTAGGTCACTGAAAAAACAAAGGCAAAAATTTGCTCTCTCTGTCAATAACTTGCTTCCTTTTCCTGTTTCTTTCAGCTCTATCCTGATGATGCCTCTCTTGATGCAGTGGAATTCAGAAAAAGAGCAAAGTCCTTGCTTCATCTGGCTGCCCTGACACTGAATAACTTGGGAGTGAAGTTCTGGCTGAGCAGTGGAACATGCCTTGGTAAAAGATTTGTATTGTGTTGCATTTTTAAACTCATCTGGAGTTTTAAACATTCATTCTCCATTGCTTGTGATGTCAGTGGAGGCCAGATGTGTTGGGTTGGAAGGCAGTATGTGGCATTAGCTGTACTGAAATAGGCCTTTTTGCTCCCCACAAAATGATTTTTCTTTAGAAACCTGAGTCTTGGAGATGTTGGGCAGATATCCAGTGAAGCATTTAATGTTGTTAGCAATTATCTGTGTTGTGTTCATCACTGCTAGAAACTAATCAGCAGTTCCCTAATTTGTGTGACTTGGATTTCAGTAAGATGCTAGTTGGAAAACACAGTGATAGACACATATTTCTGCTGTCCTTGTAGATTCTCATCACCCAGTTCTTATTCCCATGCAATTTGATGCTTATCACTGACTTTTAAAATACAGTTTACATGTAATAAATAAATTTATTTTAAACCCCAACCTTTTCCTAAAATGTCAGCCCATGGGAGTAGGTACTGCAAGTCTTCAGTTCTGCTGAAGATGGAAGTAGTATCTTATCACTGGTGAGGATTCTTTTGTTATCAAGACAGTTTGTGAAAACTCATGTGTGTGTATACATTTGACTCGTATTTGTTTAATCCAAGGGAATATAATTTCCAGAATGAACAGTTGCTATAAATGCAAAAAGGGTGTCCCACTTCTTGTCTCTCTGTTGTGAGTGGTGATTGAAAGCTGATTAACGTCTTGGATGCTCTATAAAAAAATAGTTGCAAATCAGAAGCAGAGCTGTGGCCCTGTGGCTGTTCATTTCTGATTGGATTTGGGCCTAGATTTTAGAATCATAGAATCAAACGTGTTTGAAAAGGCCTCCAAAATCATCAAGTCCAACCCTACTATTGGTGTTACTAGAGTTACTAGAGTGATTACTAATGGTTACTAGACCATGGCACTAAGAG